TTTTTCATATCTGTAGTTTGTTCAACTGAATTTTCATGTTGATCTGCTTAAGATTTGTCTGTTCTTGGAAGCTCTTCAGCAGTAGTTTTCTTTGTCCGTCTCTTCCTGAAAGCTAGTTCCAGTACAATTTTTCACCCAGATGAATGAGTAATTGTTAAATGTATCTTCCATAATGATCCGGTGAGCATGTGCACACGACTATCAACCTAAACATTGTGGAGAATGGAAGTGCTTTCTGCATGGATTTTTACTATGCTGTCTTGTTTCTTTCTCGGCACTTTTGCTTGGTGAGCCTGTCAGCACTGGTGAAGACTGTTCAGAAAATGTCTCCTTGTGTGTTTATTAAACAAAGAAAAGAATGAAAAAGTCTGAATGTGAGATGACATCTGAAGCTTGTGGCATGGAAAAAATGTTGCTCTTGTTAGACCCGTGCTTTTTTTCTGGATATTGACTTCCGTCTCCTGTGTTTGACTTTGTTGTTGATGCTGTTGCTTAAAGAGAAGTTATTTTATAAAGGCACGTTGAGCACAAAATGTATAAATATGACAGCTGAGAAAACGATTTAATGATTGTGTATATTTTGTATCTTGTCTTTCCTATTCCGTGTTCGCCGTGCGTTCAGAAGCAGAGCGTGCTAAGGCTGTTATTAGCGATGCTTTGCAGATTCATCAAACTTTGCTCAAGTATTGCACCCTTTTCCAATCAAACGTCTTTTTAGTTTTAAGACGTGCTTACACCTTGCAGTATTGTTTTGCATTGATTCAGAATTTTTTAATTAAGAACTATAAATATCACATAATGAATCAGAAAAGGATCTAGGTCTGATTATTGGTTTTACCAGGGATATTTCACTCCAAAATGAAAATTGTAACGTTTACTCATCCTCATGTCTTTCCAAACATGTATGACTTTCTATATTCCACAAAAGAAGAATAGGGACAGGGAATCCACTTTCACCCTATTGAAAAGAAAAGCATGGGCATTCTGGTATAAACATGAAGTGATACCGGTGTGGAATGATGCGAGGCTGAATAAATGCTGACAAGAATATTTATTATTCGTTGAATCATTCCTTTAAAGTCACTTTAAAAAGTGAGTGGAACAGAATTTGGAATTATACCCAAACTGCTTAAAAACATAGAGTTCGTCTCTGTAAGTGTGCATTCTGTTTCTCCCAAATATTATTTGTTCTTTGTGTGGTATTTGGGATTATTCTTGCTTAATCTTAAAAAAAAAAATCAATTGTGATTTATTTGTCTTTACTTGAAGAAAAAAATGCTTAATTTACTGGGAGTCACAGCATTCGGTCGTATTACTGTGTAAATGTGTTTGTTTCTCCTGCCTGATGTTGGGGTGGATGGGCTGGGTGCTGTTTGTGGTAATGGGGTGTAAATGATCACCCTTTACTTTTACAGTTAAGGGCCTGAATTCTAAAACCTTCATCCTGATGCCTTTCTATTAAAAGAAAAAAGAAAGAAAAAAAAACGACTTGTCCTGTCTCTCTTTCCTATCTTTCTTTTTCGTCTTGACTTTTTACTTTTTCAGTGACTTAATCATTAGGACCATGTGACCGTGTCTCCACCTCAATGTATTTGTCAGTCTTGGCGTATTATATATTTTTAATCTGCTCGTTGGATTAATGTAGTACAAGTCAAAGAACATAAAAGCTTTGTAAATCAGAATTTAGGCCATGAAGTGGGATTATTTGAGTCTAAATCCACAATGAATGAATGACACAGCTCTTGTGCATACAGTATCTCAGTCTGTTCACCTGTCTATTTACTGTCCTCGTTCTCTCTCTCTAACATATTTCTCCTCTCCTGTTTTCCCCTTTTCCCCCAGTAATCTCTCAAGTATTGTATATTTATCAATAACTCCAAAACTCCTACTTAGTGATAGATTTTTAAAAGCATCATTTTTAATCCACATTCATGCTTGCTTTCTCCTCTCATTGTATGTAATCACTAAAGTAACATCTGTAGCACTTCTCTGAACATTACTGAAACAAATCCATTATTAATCCAACATTGAGAGCCCCCGTCCCTCCCTCTCCTACCAGTAACTGCTCTAATCTCAGATGGATGGGGCTTTTAAAAAGTTATTTTAAGCATTGCTGAGTGATTCTCACTTTGTACTGTCCCAGATTATTTTTCACTGGCCAGACCACAAAAAGGGGGGCTTATCATGTCGATTTTGCTCCTTATTTATCACAGCTGTTATCTGTTCTGCAGACTTGCACATTTTAAAGTATCTCCTGCTCAGATAACACTAATATCTTTCAGTGATTTTTCTCTTGTATTTGAAACTAGACAGTATCTAAAGACGTTCAAATGCACAATGTCAGTTATTGCTCCTTATAAATCCTTCATTGGATTTTTGAATTATTAATTTGCAGTGGGTTTTGAAGCATGTTATTGAGCTGGAGATGTTGGATTTTCACCTTACTTATATAGTGTCCTTGAGATCTGAGCCACCACTGCAGTCTCTTCCCAGCATCACTGTAATGATTTGGGCTGGTTTCACATTAAGCTTGGTTAGACTTGGTGTCAGATTGAGGGTGGTCTGTGGAAATGGATAGAGTTTTTCTGATGAACAGTCTACAAACTATTCTGCCTGCCTCTATTCAGTCTGATAGTGATGCATGATATTCAGGTGTTAATATAGTATTAAGCATCTTTCACACATCAAAATACAGAAAGATAACATTGCTAGTTACACTGGCTTGGTTATTGGATAAACTTTTGTCATTTTGAGACAAATGGCTTAGGAAGAAAATCATGTCATCAGTGCTGATTTCTATAAACTCTGAATATTCCTTTAACATGGTATAACATTTTGTGAGAAGTCCACTGAACTTGCATGGTTTCATTTACATGTCATTTTCATAAAAGTTGACAATTGTGCACAAAAGTAAATTAAACCAGTATACACATTTTTGGCCTATAAAATGTCATGCTAATTCATGTGCATCATTAAGTGCACAAGAAACATGTCTAATTTCCTTTGGCATGTGTTTTGATGTTATTCTGCACCATGTATGTTTCATCAATGCACTTGATTGGATACATACATGCACAATCAAGTGCATACAGTGTTACCCCTGTCGTTTTTTTTTTTTTTTTTGTATGAAAAAATAAGTTTCTCCAATCTTCTTGAAACTCTGGATTCTGATAGAGGGCCATGGGACTTGGACCTGAGTGCAAAAATGGAGGCTGTAGACCCTTCCAGAGCTGAGATATTTATGATGGCATAAATGCTATGTGGTATCTCAATATCTCGGCTCTGGAAGGGTCTAGAGCCTCCATTTTTGCACTCAGGTCCAAGTCCCATGGCCCTCTATCAGAATCCAGAGTTTCAAAAAGAGCAGAGAAACTCAAAATTTCGACCCCCTGAAAAAAAAACGAAAGTGTTACCCCTGTTGTTTTTTTTTTTTTTTTGTGCGAAAAAATAAGTTTCTCCAATCTTCTTGAAACTCTGGATTCTGATAGAGGGCCATGGGACTTGGACCTGAGTGCAAAAATGGAGGCTGTAGACCCTTCCAGAGCTGAGATATTGAGATATTTATAATGGCATAAATGCTACGTGGGATCTCAATGTCTCAGCTCTGGAAGGGTCTAGAGCCTCTGTTTTTGCACTCAGGTCCAAGTCCCATGGCCCTCTATCAGAATCCAGAGTTTCAAGAAGATCAGAGAAACTGAAAATTTCGACCCCGAAAAAAAACGACAGTGTTACCCCTGTCGGGTTTTTTTTTTTTTGTGTGAAAAAATAAGTTTCTCCAATCTTCTTGAAACTCTGGATTCTGATAGAGGGCCATGGGACTTAGACCTGAGTGCAAAAAATGGAGGCTCTGGACCCTTCCAGAGCTGAGATATTGAGATATTTATGATGGCATAAATGCTACATGGTATCTCAATATCTCAGCCCTGGAAGGGTCTAGAGCCTCCATTTTTGCACTCAGGTCTAAGTCCCATGGCCCTCTATTAGAATCCAGAGTTTCAAGAAGATTAGAGAAACTCCAAATTTCGACCCCGAAAAAAAAAACGACAGTGTTACCCCTGTCGTTTTTTTTTTTTTTTGTGCGAAAAAATAAGTTTCTCCAATCTCCTCAAAACTCTGGATTCTGATAGAGGGCCATGGGACTTAGACCTGAGTGCAAAAATGGAGGCTCTAGACCCTTCCAGAGCTGAGATATTGAGATATTTATCTAGAGCCTCCATTTTTGCACTCAGGTCTAAGTCCCATGGCCCTCTATCAGAATCCAGAGTTTCAAGAAGATTGGAGAAACTTATTTTTTCGCACAAAAAAAAAAAACGACAGGGGTAACACGTTCGTTTTTTTTTTTTTGTGCAAAAAAATAAGTTTCTCCAATCTTCTTGAAACTCTGGCCATGGGACTTAGACCTGAGTGCAAAAATGGAGGCTCTAGACCCTTCCAGAGCTGAGATATTGAGATATTTATAATGGCATAAATGCTACGTGGGATCTCAATATCTCAGCTCTGGAAGGGTGTAGAGCCTCTGTTTTTGCACTCAGGTCCAAGTCCCATGGCCAAGAGGAGTAATGTCTGCAAAGGAGACCGGCAGCTGCTCGAAGATCTCTTTTGGAGAAAACTGTTGATTTTATACTCAAAAAATGTAAGTATCACTCCTTAAAAATTAATATTACCTCAGAATGAATTGCATTGTTAGCCCACCCCAAAACCTAAACAAAATAATAATATTAAATGCTGACCAATACTTAATTATATAACTTTTTTATATAATAAAAATATAATTTAATAAAACAAGCAAAATGTAATTTGTTTTGTCATATGACAGTTATGCATGAATTCATTTATATTGCTAAATGCAGTGAAACATCTCAATTGTCAGTCAATCGATGAATTAATGCATACATTAATTAAATTTTATATACTGACAACAATAAGAAACATGAATAAATGAGTACAAGAACAAATAAAAGTAACCATCACAATAAACAAATGCATATACAAGTCAACAACACATGAAACAAAGCTTTATTCAAACTACAAGCATGTATTTACTGCCGCTGAACACCACATCCTAATGCTGACTCAACACAGTGGTTCCCATTCTGCGGCTTTATTCTGATGAATTCACCAGAAGGGACTGTGCCTTCGTGCCGGAGCTTGTTGCTGCGCTTCACAATCTGAGGCAATAAGGGCAGGTGGAGTGATGGAGGAACTCATAAGGGCAGGTGGACAGATGGAGGGACTCATCCATGGCACCACTTCCAGGATGCAGGTCTGGGCTCCTCATCCTCAGTGCTCACACCAGTCTGCAGACTTTTCAGATCCTACAAAAATGCTCACAAACATTACACAAAAGTAGTCATTTTAACAACACAATGTCATTTGATTTATGTATTAAAAATAGCCTTACTTTATATTTGAGTAAAATCCCTGAAACCTTTTTTCCCCAACAAATGCTGCCATCATCTTTCCTTGCAGGTCCTGCTCCACCACAAAAGTTCTGCAGCAAATGCAGAAATCAAGACTCAGAAAGGTATTGTTGTAATTTGTCAGTTTGAAATTACAATCATTCAAATAAACTACAACTTAACATTTAATAGATTTTGTTATCCATTTCTGTAGTATACTCACTCAGAGCCATTGATGACAGCATTCAGCATCATGAGCCTCTCTCCACCGGATAAACACGCGTGTTCTTCTGTCCCTGTAACATACAGACAAGATTCACATTATGAGCTCAACACTGAATTTACATGCTGAGGTTGATGTGTTAACTCACTTTTAATCCAACTTAAATGTTCCTCAATATATCAACACTAATAAGGGACAAATTAAATATATATCATGTTTAGTTACTTTATAGATGGGTTTATTTACAGCACATTATTTGTCTAATGTAAGCAGTGTTGACAACAGTGAATAATCCTACATAATAGCACACACATGTATTTTTCATGTTGGGATGTGCTCAACTGCAATACTTATACAATATTTTCCTTCCTGATGTAAATAGACATTTTAAATAAGTGTGTTTAAGATGTATGGTTATGTAAATCCACTTTGGAAAAGTAACTTTACGGTTACTGGAGCTCCCCTGTTACCTATACATAATAAAACATGTGTTTACAGCAAAATCACAACTATACTATTCTGTCTAACTCCTTTAGACCTTCAACAGTTAAAATGTTTACTCTAAAGTAGTTTAACACATCCGATTTAAACACAATGGACCCGTGTTTACTCACATTTGAAAACCACCGCGTCGCTGATCTCCGCGATGTTGATATTGACGTATCCTCTCGCGTGGCCTCCTGGGAAAAATGAGTATCATGAATACTCATTGGACAGCACTCAAAAATCTGGGTGGATAGAGTAAGCCATCCGGGAACTTCTCGCCTACTCTTTTATGAAAACTGATGTTTCGAACGTATTGCTAAAACTCAAAATTTCGACCCAAAAAAACAAACAAAAAAAACGACAGTGTTACCCCTGTCGTTTTTTTTTTTTTTTTTTTTTTTTTTGCGAAAAAATAAGTTTCTCCAATCTTCTTGAAACTCTGGATTCTGATAGAGGGCCATGGGACTTAGACCTGAGTGCAAAAATGGAGGCTCTAGACCCTAGAGCTGAGATATCAAAATTCAAAATTTCGACCCGAAAAAAAACGACAGTGTTACCCCTTTCGTTTTTTTTTTCGTTTTCCGGCAAAAAATTAAGTTTCTGCAATCTTCTCAAAACTCTGGATTATGATAGAGGGCCACGAGACTTTGACCTGAGTGCAAAAATGGAGGATCTAGACCCTTCCAGAGCTGAGATATCGAAATTCAAAATTTCGACCCAAAAAAAAAAAACGACAGTGTTACCCCTTTCGTTTTTTTTCATTTTCGGGCGAAAAATTAAGTTTCTCCAATCTTCTCAAAACTCTGGATTATGATAGAGGGCTGTGAGACTTTGACCTGAGTGCAAAAATGGAGGCTCTAGACCCTTCCAGAGCTGAGATATCAAAATTCAAAATTTCGACCTGAAAAAAAAAACGACAGTGTTACCCCTTTCGTTTTTTTTTCATTTTCGGGCGAAAAATTAAGTTTCTCCAATCTTCTCAAAACTCTGGATTATGATAGAGGGCTGTGAGACTTTGACCTGAGTGCAAAAATGGAGGCTCTAGACCCTTCCAGAGCTGAGATATCAAAATTCAAAATTTCGACCCGAAAAAAAAAACGACAGTGTTACCCCTTTTGTTTTTTTTCATTTTCGGGCGAAAAATTAAGTTTCTCCAATCTTCTCAAAACTCTGGATTATGATAGAGGGCTGTGAGACTTTGACCTGAGTGCAAAAATGGAGGCTCTAGACCCTTCCAGAGCTGAGATATCAAAATTCAAAATTTCGACCCGAAAAAAAAAACGACAGTGTTACCCCTTTTTTTTTTTTCATTTTCGGGCGAAAAATTAAGTTTCTCCAATCTTCTCAAAACTCTGGATTATGATAGAGGGCTGTGAGACTTTGACCTGAGTGCAAAAATGGAGGCTCTAGACCCTTCCAGAGCTGAGATATCGAAATTCAAAATTTCGACCCGAAAAAAAAACGACAGTGTTACCCCTTTCGTTTTTTTTCATTTTCGGGCGAAAAATTAAGTTTCTCCAATCTTCTCAAAACTCTGGATTATGATAGAGGGCTGTGAGACTTTGACCTGAGTGCAAAAATGGAGGCTCTAGACCCTTCCAGAGCTGAGATATCAAAATTCAAAATTTCGACCCGAAAAAAAAACGACAGTGTTACCCCTTTCGTTTTTTTTCATTTTGGGCGAAAAATTAAGTTTCTCCAATCTTCTCAAAACTCTGGATTATGATAGAGGGCTGTGAGACTTTGACCTGAGTGCAAAAATGGAGGCTCTAGACCCTTCCAGAGCTGAGATATCGAAATTCAAAATTTCGACCCGAAAAAAAAACGACAGTGTTACCCCTTTCGTTTTTTTTCATTTTCGGGCGAAAAATTAAGTTTCTCCAATCTTCTCAAAACTCTGGATTATGATAGAGGGCTGTGAGACTTTGACCTGAGTGCAAAAATGGAGGCTCTAGACCCTTCCAGAGCTGAGATATCGAAATTCAAAATTTCGACCCGAAAAAAAAACGACAGTGTTACCCCTTTCGTTTTTTTTCATTTTCGGGCGAAAAATTAAGTTTCTCCAATCTTCTCAAAACTCTGGATTATGATAGAGGGCTGTGAGACTTTGACCTGAGTGCAAAAATGGAGGCTCTAGACCCTTCCAGAGCTGAGATATCAAAATTCAAAATTTCGACCCGAAAAAAAAACGACAGTGTTACCCCTTTCGTTTTTTTTCATTTTTGGGCGAAAAATTAAGTTTCTCCAATCTTCTCAAAACTCTGGATTATGATAGAGGGCTGTGAGACTTTGACCTGAGTGCAAAAATGGAGGCTCTAGACCCTTCCAGAGCTGAGATATCGAAATTCAAAATTTCGACCCGAAAAAAAAAACGACAGTGTTACCCCTTTCGTTTTTTTTCATTTTTGGGCGAAAAATTAAGTTTCTCCAATCTTCTCAAAACTCTGGATTATGATAGAGGGCTGTGAGACTTTGACCTGAGTGCAAAAATGGAGGCTCTAGACCCTTCCAGAGCTGAGATATCGAAATTCAAAATTTCGACCCGAAAAAAAAAACGACAGTGTTACCCCTTTCGTTTTTTTTCATTTTTGGGCGAAAAATTAAGTTTCTCCAATCTTCTCAAAACTCTGGATTATGATAGAGGGCTGTGAGACTTTGACCTGAGTGCAAAAATGGAGGCTCTAGACCCTTCCAGAGCTGAGATATCGAAATTCAAAATTTCGACCCGAAAAAAAAACGACAGTGTTACCCCTTTCGTTTTTTTCATTTTTGGGCGAAAAATTAAGTTTCTCCAATCTTCTCAAAACTCTGGATTATGATAGAGGGCTGTGAGACTTTGACCTGAGTGCAAAAATGGAGGCTCTAGACCCTTCCAGAGCTGAGATATCGAAATTCAAAATTTCGACCCGAAAAAAAAACGACAGTGTTACCCCTTTCGTTTTTTTTCATTTTTGGGCGAAAAATTAAGTTTCTCCAATCTTCTCAAAACTCTGGATTATGATAGAGGGCTGTGAGACTTTGACCTGAGTGCAAAAATGGAGGCTCTAGACCCTTCCAGAGCTGAGATATCGAAATTCAAAATTTCGACCCGAAAAAAAAACGACAGTGTTACCCCTTTCGTTTTTTTTCATTTTTGGGCGAAAAATTAAGTTTCTCCAATCTTCTCAAAACTCTGGATTATGATAGAGGGCTGTGAGACTTTGACCTGAGTGCAAAAATGGAGGCTCTAGACCCTTCCAGAGCTGAGATATCGAAATTCAAAATTTCGACCCGAAAAAAAAACGACAGTGTTACCCCTTTCGTTTTTTTTCATTTTTGGGCGAAAAATTAAGTTTCTCCAATCTTCTCAAAACTCTGGATTATGATAGAGGGCTGTGAGACTTTGACCTGAGTGCAAAAATGGAGGCTCTAGACCCTTCCAGAGCTGAGATATCGAAATTCAAAATTTCGACCCGAAAAAAAAACGACAGTGTTACCCCTTTCGTTTTTTTTCATTTTTGGGCGAAAAATTAAGTTTCTCCAATCTTCTCAAAACTCTGGATTATGATAGAGGGCTGTGAGACTTTGACCTGAGTGCAAAAATGGAGGCTCTAGACCCTTCCAGAGCTGAGATATCGAAATTCAAAATTTCGACCCGAAAAAAAAACGACAGTGTTACCCCTTTCGTTTTTTTTCATTTTGGGCGAAAAATTAAGTTTCTCCAATCTTCTCAAAACTCTGGATTATGATAGAGGGCTGTGAGACTTTGACCTGAGTGCAAAAATGGAGGCTCTAGACCCTTCCAGAGCTGAGATATCGAAATTCAAAATTTCGACCCGAAAAAAAAACGACAGTGTTACCCCTTTCGTTTTTTTTCATTTTTGGGCGAAAAATTAAGTTTCTCCAATCTTCTCAAAACTCTGGATTATGATAGAGGGCTGTGAGACTTTGACCTGAGTGCAAAAATGGAGGCTCTAGACCCTTCCAGAGCTGAGATATCGAAATTCAAAATTTCGACCCGAAAAAAAAACGACAGTGTTACCCCTTTCGTTTTTTTTCATTTTGGGCGAAAAATTAAGTTTCTCCAATCTTCTCAAAACTCTGGATTATGATAGAGGGCTGTGAGACTTTGACCTGAGTGCAAAAATGGAGGCTCTAGACCCTTCCAGAGCTGAGATATCGAAATTCAAAATTTCGACCCGAAAAAAAAACGACAGTGTTACCCCTTTCGTTTTTTTTCATTTTGGGCGAAAAATTAAGTTTCTCCAATCTTCTCAAAACTCTGGATTATGATAGAGGGCTGTGAGACTTTGACCTGAGTGCAAAAATGGAGGCTCTAGACCCTTCCAGAGCTGAGATATCGAAATTCAAAATTTCGACCCGAAAAAAAAACGACAGTGTTACCCCTTTCGTTTTTTTTCATTTTTGGGCGAAAAATTAAGTTTCTCCAATCTTCTCAAAACTCTGGATTATGATAGAGGGCTGTGAGACTTTGACCTGAGTGCAAAAATGGAGGCTCTAGACCCTTC